TAATATTTACATTTTTACATTTAAGAAAATATATAAAATGTATATTATTAATTTGTCTTATACAAACACAACGCGTTGCGTTTATTATTACACATTTTCTGAACATTTATTGTCATATTTCACTAATATCAGATGCGATTATCGCGCAACTGCCCCCAACTTTTTTGCACTCAGTACTTTGCAGAAATTTCACTCAGGTGTCCGAATTCACCTCAAAAGCGGTATCCGCTCAACATGGAATTAGCGATAAAGTTTCGTGGCATAAGTGAAGTGGGTTTCGAAATGACATAGGAATAGAATATCTGAGACACGTGTGGGTCAATCAACCTCGTGTTCTCGGAAAAATGGAATCAATAGAATTTTTAAACTGAATGAAATGAATGAGTGAATTCGAATTCGGGTTTTTACGGAATCGCTCTGCTGGTATCATGTTAACTCGAACGAGTAGTAATTGCTATTCTATTTTCACTAGTTACTATTTAGGTGCTCTCTGTAAATAACATATAAATGTAGTGTAAAGTTTAGTTAAGTTTTACAGCGAGGCAATAATAAATATAAGTATTATGTAAATATTTTACATACAGATAAAAATAAACATTATAAATATCTATAATAATTTATTTCCTTTCAATTTATGTATAATACATCGAGTTATCACAAAATAACTTTGCAAATGGATTTAACCTAATTTTCAAAAGATCGAAGATTAAAATCAATTATAGAATAAATCAGACATTTGGATATCTCGATGTAAATACGCCCACAATGTTTGGATTAACCCTATAAAGGTAGTGGAATAGACAATATTAATTTAAAATGCAAGTTATGTTCCATTTTTAAATGATTCACATTTTAAATGATTCATTACATTTTTTTTTTGTACAATCCTCTAAAAATAAAGTTGACAACCCTGAGACGAAGTAAACACACAATAGGTACTAAGTAGCAAGTTAAAATTATAGTTTACTTGTGAGTATAATTAGTTGTTACTTTTTGTGTATTTACACATACATCATCACAAGTAAACTAACCATACTGTTTTTGATAAGAAGCGAGGGTTGTTTCTTCAATTAAGCTCATTTTTGTTAATAAAATAAAGCGTTTATTACTTCACAATTACAATTTTTGTACATGATATTTAGTAGGTTTTTTAAAAAGGCGTACGATGGCGAGAGAGGCGATCGTTTCTTTTATATATGTTTTAAGGAAAAAGAATCACACGTTATAGACTGGATCGTGAACATGCTACGCAAAACAGGATAGTACGGGTAGCAGGTGAGGATAGCACTGGAGCACTGGTCGTGCGGGGATGCCCTCAAGGAGTTCTCTCACCGCTCCTATGGAATCTGGTTGTCAACAACCTGATTACCCGCCTGAACGCTAGTCACTTCTACACAATAGGGTATGCCGATGACATTACAATACTAACTCTAGGCACCCACGCTGGTATAACCTGTAACATCATGCAAGCAGCCTTGAAACAAGGCAAACGCTGGTGTTAACAATACGACCTGGCCGTAAACCCTGCAAAAACGGAACTGGTAATGTTTACAAACAAACGCAAAGTGGGCACTTACCGCCTACCGAAGCTATTCGGCACTACACTACAACTGTCTAAGGAGGTGAAGTGCCTAGGCGTAATTCTTGACAGTAAACTTAACTAGAACAGCCAACTAGGGCAAAAACTACTATACAGCCAAGGCTATGCTTGGCTGTTGACGCCAAATCTCTGGTATTCTGGAGCTCAAAACAGCTCTTAATAAAAATGATTAAATTTTATTTAAATTATTATTTTGTTTTTGTTTTGCCATGAGTTCCTATTATCTGTCTAAAGGGGGAGGACTGGGACACATCTGTTAAATCATTGTCATCCACTCTGAGTGACGAAATCTGTGATATTTATAATATAAACAATAATGCATTTGTAAGTCGTCATTCACATTTAACATTAAAACAGTCTGGACGTAAACTCATACATGTGAACACGTTTCTTAATTTTACCGTCCCTTCGTATAAATTGTCAGATAGTAAATTTACCAATAAGTTAAATATGTACCAATAAATAAAAAGCCAAAATATGGCAAAATAAAAACCTTACCTAATATCTGCAGCTAAGGACTAAGTCTAATATATACAAAAATATATAAATGTAATTACACTAAAATACCCATCTAATTAATTATCTTAATAATTAATTTATGCCACTAAAAAAAACACACCTAACAATTTCAACATTTCCCGCGCTTTTTCGCACATCTTGTCATGTCAGTCACATTGACCAACATTAGCGATGTGCGATTGTTGCAAAAAACCATTGACTGAATCGAAAATTGTGCTACTGCGCATTCGATTGTCAAAATCAAAATTTATTTATTCAGTTTAGGCTTTTACAAAGCACTTGTGAGAGTCGAAAACTACACTATCGGTTCGCAAAACGGCGGGAGACCTTGTACTGAGAAGAAACTCGGAAAGATCTGTTTTTTTTCTCCCTGTTTTATTGCACACAGAAGTCTTATTGAAAAGTGACTTCATTAGAATATGAAGTCACTTACCATTACAATATTAGAAAGTAAATACAATAAAGTTAAAATATCTAACACCATGCCTTTTTGTCATTTAGATATTCCTTGTAGACAATTTTTAGTATGACTTTTAAAATGATTTATTGGCAAATCTAATACATCATTGGGGATTTTGTTAAAGTATTGTATACCTTGACCCATGAAAGAACCTAATACCTTCTGTAACCTGTAAGAAGGCATTACTAGCTTGTTTTTATTTCTAGTGTTATGTTTGTGTATACCACTATGTTTGGTATACACATTAATATTGTTCCGCACAAAGTATACAACTATATACTGGGAGGAACAAAATGACCGACACAGCTGAAAGTTTCAAGTTAGGTTACATGCAAACGTTCATTTTATTTGACAAATATTTAAAAATAGAGGAGGTGTAAAAAGGTAGTAAAAGTTTTAAATTTCTAAGTGTTGACAGCCCTATAACGCGCATTCGTAATAACGATTGTGTGCAGATTACAACGAACCGCGAAATACATTAATTTAATTTAATTGTTTACCGATATCTTAATGATAGTCGATGCTGAAAATGTCTTGAAAGTCAAAGTTGACACTCAAGACGAACACTCTAGTATCTTATTAACAAAAATTCAATTAAAAATGCACTAAAACAAAACAAAAATCGACAAAAAAGACGCTTCGCAGCGGTGCGTCGGCGGCGATGCGCAACAACACTCAAACGCAAAAGGTCGGCGGCGATCGGCCGGAAAATACCGACAGAATAATGAAGCCGCCTGGCGGCTAGCGGGCGGGTGGGGCTTTGATATCGAGGGACGAACTCGGTTCACTTTTTTTTATTCGTCTTTTGATATCACGCATTTTTTAATGTTCTTTTTAAATGCTATTTTAATAACAAATTCCTCAATGTTTTTTAAACAAAGTTCATTTGTGTTAATGATGAATCGCTGGAAGATTTGTGAGTTTATCGATTTTAATTAACGATACCGTTGTTAAAGGAGTATGACCCCATTCAAACAATTTTTTTGGAGAACTGCTCTTTTAAAATAACGTAGCTTAATGTTACACTGATCCCTCTACAATAATTAAGGAAATTTTACACTCGGTTTCTTAATTGAGAATTTAAAGTTAAACGTCTCAAACTAACATCACTTAGTTTTCGTTTCCGATTTAAGTTTTTTGATGATCAGTTGATAGCAGTTTGATAAAACTAGGACTATTTGACTTGTGAAATTAAAAAAACTTAGGTTATTGAGAATAAGCAGTAGAAATTTTCTACTTTTTTTCAAATCAGAAACCGGCTGTTAGTCTGTAAATCGATTTAAGCATTTTGACTGCCTTGTTTATTGATTGTCTGGTAGAACTAGTTTTTTTCGTTTTTAGAAATGAAGAAGTCAATGACCGATTAAAAACTTTTCTTTAGTACGTAACGTCCCAAAAACAGCTGACTCAGGGTTGAAAACACTCATTTTTTTTCAAAAACTTTGAAATTTAATATCTCCGAAACTATTTGACCTATAGTTTTATAGGTCAAATAGTTTATATTAGACTTATAATTTTTTTTACATCATATTAAAGACAAATAGTACTCTCCAGGAACCTCGGGAGTGTCGGTCGTTCTGTTCCACCGAGTATAAATTGAGATGCAACCGTCAATATTTCAATTTCTTTAAATTTTTCTCTAAGAGATATTCGCGAGCCCAACTGATTCTAGATTTTAGTATTTGTTTTGTAGCGGCAACAGAAATATACCATCTGCGAAAATTTCAACTGTCTATCACGGTTCATAAGATACAGCCTAAAAACTTTTTTTTTTATACAGCCGGGTGACAGACAGACGGACAAACGGACGAAATAACCTTTTAGTGCCAATCACATAACTGCAATCGAACGCAGCGCACGCCCGCCGCACCGCACCATAAGTACTACAGATGGGTATAGCGCTACGTAAGAAATTTGTCGATAAAGTAAGTACGGTAACCGCGGTGTCTCATTGTTGCTCGCCGCCGCCGCCGCAAGGTTTAGTTAATAACAATAATCGATCATAATCGACTAATTCGATTTTTTTAAGTAATCGCCCATCGCTAATCATCATCTTGACATGTGTCATGTTGTGAAGGAGAGGGTAATACAATATTAATCTATTCGAGATATATTTGTTTTCTATATACATTCTATTTGTATTATCTTTAACAATGTAATCAGATAGACGCGCTCAGAGCTATTTTTTTTTATTTTATTTAAATTCAAAATTTTACATATTTTATTATTGTTTCTATACGTGTAAAGACCACAAACGTGACATTGGCGGAATTGTGTAAATGCAAATAGGCCATGAATTAAAAAAGAAGAAGAAGAAGAAGATCTAATTGTAAACATTATAAAGTACATAGGTACATAGAAAAAAATATAAAGTACATTACACAAACTACGTACATTATATAAGTTACTTTTTGTTTTAAGTAAATGTAAAACAAAGAGAATTCAAACTGAAACAAGATCAAATGTACATTTATTTCACTAATCTGTGGTTATTGAGATTGTTACTCAATTAGAATTAAAATGAATGATGCTGATTTAATTTATATAGTAAGAAATTACGAGGAGTTGTATAATGTGCACCATCAAAATTACAGTAATCAACAACGACGTGATAATATATGGGACGAAATCGGAGAACAACTTTGTATAAATGGTAAGTTTTCTTAACTTTTATTTTGTTTTGAATTATCGAGTACCTTATAATTAGGGTATTATAAGTAATGTTTTATGAAACCATAATATTTTTTAAAATATTTTATCGCCTATCTTTATCAGGTATTTCATTATAGGTACCACTATTGTAAAAAAACCAAATATTTGTTCAAAGCACAAAAACAATGAAATCTTTCCTATTTATAACATTATTATACATAAGACCTATCTATCTACAGCTTAAAAGATATGATATGAGGTATTGAATGTTTTTAAATATAAAACAATAATAATTAGACACAAGAAAGGAACTACCATGGTAATTGACTTGGAAATTGGAATTAACAACAAATGTTGATTTAAATAAATTTTGCATAACATGTGATTTCTTTGTTATGTATCTAATCATACAATGTTTTGGGGGACTGTAGTTAGGTTGGTGGTCATGCTAGCAATATATTTAACTAATCCATTTTAAAATAATAAAAAAAGAAATATGTATGTTTGTATGTATAAACATATTTGTATATTCTTCCAGCTTAAACAGCCACATCACTACATAGTATAAAAATGTCGCTTTCTCTTTCCCTATGTATGCTTAAATCTTTAAAACTATGCAACGGATTTTGAAGTGGTTTTTTTTAATAGATAGGGTGATTCAAAGGGAAGGTTTTTATGTATAATACAAGACCACATGGGCGGAAAGCTAGTGTATTATAACATGAGAAACATTATATTTTACAACAATTATCATAATGTTAAAATGGAAATAAACAATTATTATAAAAATTACATGAACAGAGTAGTATGTTTGGCATAGTCCAACATAAGAAAACTACTTCAAAGAGAGTGTAGCTCAGCGCAAGCTATAGCTAATAGTATACTATTGTAGCATACCTACATTTATATTATATTTAATATTATGAATGAATGAATACGTCTTTATTATACATAACACTCCTTAACCATCCATAAGGAAGGCCTGAGCCCCTGCAGTGGGGACGTAAAAGGGCTGATGCTGCTGATGCTGATACATAACACTAATAACAACATAATGCACAGATAGTAGAATCAGCGGCCATAAAAATATTATTACTTTTTGCTTCATAACTAATTTTCAAAATGACTACCTTGTTTTCTGACACAAATCCTCATCCTTTTCCTTAATTCTGTTTTGACAACTCATAAGTTTAAGTTTAATCTAATCAAATCAAAATCACTTATTCAGTCTAGGCTGTTACATAGCACTTGTGAAAGTCTACAACTATGCCAACGGTCGCAAAACTGTGGTCAACCGTGTACTGAGAAGAATCGGCAAGAGCTGAGCAAAACTCAGCAAGTACTGATTTTTTCTTCCTGTTTTATTTGACCCAAATTTTTTAAAAGTGACTTTATTAGACTGTAAAGTCACTTACCATTATAATATCAGAAATCACAAGTCATATTTTTCATGAACGAACGAACAAAATTAATATTAATTTATTTGAATTGTAATTTTAAGTTACTTAACGATATTTGTGCGACAATGTCGCAGCCAAGTTACTGGAATTGAATCAGCTGAGTAACTGGACGCAACGTTCTACAATACGGCTGAACAAAGGACAGCCAACGAAGGAAGAATAAGACGTAAAGCAAATTAAATATTATAATGGGTGATTCTAAATAAAACTCAAATCTCCTTGTTACGATCTGTAATCAATACCGATACAGAACAGATCAAAAAGATCACAACAAACTGCTTATATAGTAACTGGGTGTTAATGATCCAATACAGGAAGCTAACGTACGTAACATACGTTGTACACACCAATAACGCAAGTAAGTTAAGCTTAAACTTTCATAATAAATTCTTAATACTAATACAATTACAAGATATACCGCGATTCAGACGGCCACAACGCCACATATAAAAAATGAGAGTGAGCTATTTATTTGACTACAATAGTTAACATCATTATGTAATAAACAACGAAGTTACTTCGGTTCTGTAGGTGACGTGATAGGTTATAAATTAGGACGCTACGCTGCGCTTCGCGATCGTCTTAAATTTCGAGCTTATTTTCTTTTAACAGATAAAAAAACTAAATGAATATTTTGGCGTCTTTTAAATCAGACTAAACTAGAAAACTAGGCGTGCAATTAAATGGCGCGATTCAATTAAATAGCTACCCGCCCAATTAGTAATGAGCCAATTTATTGGTAACTCGTAACTTCACTGTGTTTATTTTAAATAATAATAATTATTTATAATAACAATCATTGTTAGTTTTGCCTTTACCACTATTTGTATGTTATTGACAATTATAGATTACGCATTGATTAAATTGTTAAAATTGTGAGTTTTTATTGCACTTTTATCAAATCGCATCTATTGATTTTCTAAATCAGCAATATTCGTGTAGCAAGTGGGTTTAAGAATTCAGTTTGTTTATTATATGCTGTATTTCCATATTTCTTCTTCTTCTTCTTCTTTTATTGATGGCCCATCTGCGCTTTTCGCACAATTCCGCCAATTTCACGTGGATAGCCACTACACGATAGGGATTCTATACATAATTAATTTGGAAAAGAGATTCTAATATTTAAATAAATAATTATACACTTTCTATGTCGATAACGAACCTGAAACAAAACACATTTTATCGCATGCATCACGTTACACAACACAACACATATACAGGCATAACATTTTAGTAAGGGGGAAATAAGGAATGGTTCATTATAATTTTAACTTATTACTTAAGATAAATTTAATTAGTGTTTTTAAACAGGGTGTATTAACCAGTTGAAGCACATTTTTAATATTAATGGGGCGAGGAACTTCTTGTGGGAGTACATCATACAGGGAATACAAGAGTTTGGGGCAGTCAAATAGTGTGTGTTCTACAGATCCCTCATCTAGGCCGCACTCACAAAGGGGGTTATCCTTAACATTAATTTTGGCCAAATGAACTGGTAAGCTTGCGTGTCCAATGCGGAGACGGCATAACACTGATACAACCTGTTTGGGAGTATGTTTCTGTTTTATGAACCAAGGTTTTGTTGGAATAGTTGGTTGGATGTCAAAGTAGTACTTTCCACTCTTATTTTTAGTGTTTGTCCAATGCGTCTCCCATGATTGCGATAGATGAGAATGAAGGAGGGGGATGAGATCGTTATATGTAAGTTCGGAATGACTAGTACAACCAGTGGAGATTGCATTCCTGGCACACGAATCAGCAGTTTCATTGCCGTGTATGCCACTGTGACCTGGGATCCAGCTCAGCATCAGTTCTATTTCTTTCACTTTACATCTAAGTAAAGCTTCTCTAATTTTGAGGATAGTTGGGAAGCGAGATTTGGACCGCATGGGATTGGAGGATATTGCCTGAAGGCAGCTAAGAGAATCGGATAGGATGATTGAGCGGTTTAAATTGTGTGATTCACAATATAAAATTGCCTCCAATATTGCGATTGCTTCACCCGTAAAGACTGATGAGGGTGGTGGTATTTTAAAATTCAGGACTATCTTATACTTGGGTATCCATACTGCCGCTCCAACACTCTCAGTATCTGAAATCTTGGATGCATCCGTAAATATTTGAAGCCAATGCGGCCAGTTTTTACACATTACCTCATTGAAGGATTTATTTGAACTGGGTGACTGTTTTTCAATACCCAGATTAAGTGAGATGGGCGGATCGAAAACTAAAGACTCGAAGCTGTTTAAAAACAAAGGGTTGCAAGGAAATTTTTCAATGGAAATGGATGGGCGGTGGAACTTATAATAACTAGTAACTATACAGGGTACTTTATGAGAAGAATTAGAATTTATATTTGATAAATGGGTCAGCTTGTCTAAAGAAGGTAACAATGGGTGATTTTCATTTTGTAAAACCTTAAGGAGAAATCTGTCACTGAGGTATTGTCTACGCAGAAAAAGTGGGGGATCGCCCCCTTCTATTTGAAGGGCATTGATGGGGGAGGATTTCATTGCCCCTAGTATAATTCGTAAGCACTTCGATTGGATTTTGTTGATTTTATCCAGAGCTGTTTTATTGCATGGGTCAAGGAGAAATGAGCCATAGTCAAAGTGACTACGAATTATTGCGTTATAAAGCAGTCTTTGAGTTACTGGGTGTGCGCCCCACCAGACGCCAGACAAAGCTCGCAAAACGTTTACGCCCTTTTCTGCCTTACTGGCAATATTATTGAAATGCTCAGTACCCGTGAGTCTAGAGTCAAGTATCATCCCTAAGAACTTTACTGAAGGCCTAATTTCTATTGTGAAGTCCTGAAATTTGATGTTCGGAGCAGGGATGTTTCGTTTCTTTGTAAAGATTACGGTGCTACATTTTGGTGTGGAGACGGATAGTCCATGGTCAGACAGCCAATCACCGAGATATGATAGAGCAGAGTTAAGTCGTGAAGTAGCCTCCGGTATTGATTTCACTGTGACGTAAAGGGCTACGTCATCAGCGTATTGTAAAATCTGGCAGAAGGGGTTCACCGAAAGTTCCATATCGAAAGTGTATAAACTGTAAAGTATGGGGCTAAGAACCGATCCTTGTGGTAGGCCTTTCCATACAGTCCTAGCCAATGTATGGTTTTGAGACCTTATCAAAATAGACCTGGACGTTATCAGGTTGCAAATGAATCGAACCAACTTCACTGGGATGTTCAGATGTTGCATTTTCTGCCTGAGCACCGGAATAAGGACGTTGTCATATGCAGACGATATATCCAGGAATACTCCAATTAGGTATTCTTTTTTCACTAACGCTAAACGGATGTCTGTTGTAAGAGTACTGAGACTGTCTAAAGTGCTATATCCTTTTCTAAAACCGAACTGTGATTTAGCAAGAATGTCATGTCTTTCTACAAACCACTCTAGGCGATTTTTCATTATATGCTCGACGACTTTTAAGAGAACCGACGAAAGGGCTATAGGCCTATAAGAGGAGTGGTCGGATGGGTTCCTACCCGGTTTTAGTATTGGAATCACAATCTGTTTTGTCCATT